AGGGCCCCCTTAGGGACTACTGACGCTTCTTTTTTCAAAGCACTCTCGCCTGTGGTTTCCTTCGGTGCAGATTCCTTACCACCCTCCTTAGACAGGGTGCGCTTAGGCGGGCTCAAAGGCGTCTTTTCTGGCTGCCCCCGTGGCGGCCTCTGGCTATGCACCAACTGCCGGGCGAGTCCAGCATGTTGCTGCATGATTTGCCTCTTTCTAGCCATGCAGTTGACTTGCTCTCTCATGCCAAGCCCTGCCGCATTGCTGCTGCTGCTGCTGCCACGACTACAGCCGCTCCCGCTGCTGCTCTGCCGACTACCGCCATAGAGGGGGGTCTGCTGCCCGCTGCTTTTGCTGCTGATGCTGCTGAAAGAGCTGATGTCTTCGCTGCTGACACTCCTCCCCCTGTGGCTCTTCGCGGAGCGGCAGCCCCTCCTGGCCGCTGGCGACACCCTGTTGGCAGAGTACACGCCAACAGGCTGTCTGGGAGTCTCCCTTAAGGCAGTAGCTCGAGCCACTGGCGGCTCGAGAGGGGCCCCCTCTAGGACCCCTCCAGTCGCCGAGGGCCTTCCAGAAGGCGGCGACGCCCCCACGTGCTGCTCCGATTGGAAGCCTTTCTCTGGATCTCCCCGAGGGTACAGCGCGTCTCCTGCGTCGGAGGCTTCCCCAAATAGAGTGCCAGTGGCACTGCTAAAGCCGGCTGACTCTGCTGCAGAGAGCCCGCTGCGCTCTCCAAGGGCTTGAGACTCCACAAGCGTCCCACAGGAGGCCTCAGACTTGCGGAGACAGCTCGCTGAAGGCTCTGAATCATTCATGGGCCCCTCCATCACGCAGCACCGCGCCAAGCGGCGGAATTCCCGGCGCAAAGGAACGGGCAAAAGACGGAACACGTCAACGAGCATTTTGCAAAGGCGTTGCGTCTGAAAGCCAAGCACAAAGAGGAATCTTTGAAATATTGAGTAATTGCGAGTTCGAACATCTGAAAAAGCAATACTAAATACGTCACCCAAAGCGTTACATGCTCCCGCGTGTCTCGGCCTACCTCTTCTCCTTCCTCACGCAGCGCTGCCTCTAAGATTCGCGTCTCGTTGGCTTTAGGAGGTCCATACACCTCAGCTCCCTGGACCCTGCGGCGAACACAGCGGAACACAAGCAGTGTTTGCGGTTTGAGGGCCCCACTAAGGCTGGCAGCCTCAACGAGGGGCCTTAGACACGTGGGCGTCTTACAGGATCAGCTTCTCGCTGTATTGCAAACGCTTACAAGCCTTCCAAGGCTTTTTGCCTTTGGACCGAGGCTGGTCCTGCTGTGCCTTCCTGGCGGGTGCTGCAACGGCAGACGCTTTCGGCTGCTGCTCCGTCATAGCCCTCAACGATGCCGTACACTTCGAGGCCCTAAAAAACACGCGAAACAGCCACAATGCCGTTAAAGTCGCCTTTTTTTTCTGCAGCTTTGGGCTCGCACGCCTTGACTAGAACGCAGGGAGGTCTTATTTCTGGTTCTCCCGCCTGTATCTTTCTAGCTGCTACATGCATTCCCTACCCTGTGCGCGTGTCATACCCTGCAGCTCTTCTGTATGCCCCCAAAGGCCTTCGCCCCCGCTTCCGGCTGCATTGCTTCCTTTCTCTGTAACCTAGTGTATCCAAGCACTCCTTACCTGAAGAGACTTTCTACCCACGCGTCCCTCTCTTCTTCTGTGGCCGCAAATAGCAAAATGTGATTTCTGTCGTTCCAATGCAACGCCAGCCCGAATCCCAGGCTCTCAGAGGCGCAAGCGCCTCCCAAGCAGTCCTCAGCCTCACCTGTGGACGCATATATGTATGTATATATATCGCATTTAGCAGAAAGTGGCAATAGCGGCAGGAGTAGCGAAAAGCTGCCTTCTCTATGCGAAACAATGCGAGCAGAAGGGTTAGCAGATAGGAGCGCCTCTCGTATAGCCTGGCCTTGTACAGGCCTCAACCCGAAAAAGATCGCCCCTCGCTGTTTTTCCCCTCGTAGGCCGTCCGTCCTCCCGCGGCTTGTGAGCTTCGAAAAAGAGCGGGAATACCAAGCAAGCCAGCAAGCTAATGAACTTCTCTGGCTGCCTGCAAACGCAGCTGGAAGGCTGGGAGAGGCAAAGCATCGTACCGTCGATTCGGCATACTGTGCAGCCATCTAGCCAGAGAACGAGGATCTCCGCATCGTCAGCCCCCACGTGCTCCCTAATAAAGAGGAGGTTTGCAATTAACGTGAAGTGGAACGTTTCGCACAGCCCTGGCGCGGATGCATCAGCAGCTGCTGCTTTTGCTGCTCCTCTTCCTCCTGCTGCTGCGGCTGCTTGGTGCGCTGCCTGTACGGTGTACTCAAGAAGATAGCCAGAGCGCAACGGTCGTGTAAAGCACGGGGGTAACCGAGCCCTCCCAGCAAGGAAGGCTTCATGGTGAGGTGCAACAAGCCGCATACTCGCAGCTTGTACATACACAATCGGTGGACTTCGCGAGAGAGCGCAGAGGCGTTACATCCAAGAAAGAACGTTGGAAGACTGCCTGGAAGCTCGGGTGTATGGACACCCAAAACGCATGACGTAGGAGGTACGGGGCCAGAACACACAACGCATTCGAGAGCAAGCGGCACTCGACAGTGTCTTCCGCACGGCGGAGGGACAGCTTTCACCTAGCACATCGGGAAAAGACAACTCGTCCTTAGTCAGAGCAAACCCTTCGAATTTCAAATTAAGTGTACAACGCCATCGTGTTTAGGTCTGAAGGCTTGCCCTGCAGCGGCGTTTACACCCTGTCGGGTATGTCGTGATGAGACGGCACCACTGGTCCTTGCTACTGCTGCATTGAAGGGAAGCCCACACCTGTGCATTTCATGCCTTATAGCCGACGCATAAAGCCTTTAAACATGCTACAAAACAATTTAAGGGCATAAAAGCCGTGTATCAATATGCCGGATCCTCAGGTCTGAGGGGTGGCCAACGACTGACCTGCGGCACAGACACGAAGGTGGGTGGGGAGTTGCAAAGGAGTCAATAAGCACCTGAAGCAGTAACTGCATGTTTTTGAAACTCTAAATCCTAACTCTTAGAGACTAGGCAGTGCATTTGGGGGCGGGAGGGAGGTGTATTCTGTTGTCTAGACCTTGGGTAGCGAGACATCTAGAACGGACTCAGGTACAGAATTCGAAGCCGAAGTGTATACGCATTCTTCCAGCAACCACGCCACTTAGAATAGCACCATCGGTGCGGCATCGCTCGCACAGCTTCAGGAAAAACGCTTTTCCGGAGGGCAGGGGCATCAAGAGTAGTAACACAGAGCGGCATCAAGGGTGACTCGTATACCACCAGCTTCTGCAACGGTGGTGTGAGACTGCCTTTGGAAAGTCCTTATCCTGCACCTTACTGAGCATGATTCGAGGTTCCAGTAAAGGAGTTTTCTGCGGTGTGGCGATAGCTAGCGGCAGAAGGCGAGGCAAGAGTGTGGCGCCCATCTCAACGAGAGGGGCAGGAAGAGTCGGGCTTCACAATGGGGGAAGGGAGGACACAGGAAAGAAAGCACAAATTTCGCTTCAATAGACGGAGGTTCTGGATCTACTGGCTCTACAGAAGGCGCCTGATGGGCACCACAAAATCCCAACGCTGAATCCTCCCTCTGCGTGCGCGTGCTCTGTTTGCGAGCATACGAATCTGTACAAACACAGTATGCTATAGACACACCAAGAGACACGGACGACTAGCCGTCAATCTGCATCGCGCCGTCAGAGAGAGTGGAGGAAGCACACCACTGCATTCCTGTATTCTTCTACAAAAGCTGGGTGCCGCAGTCCGCACTTTTGCGTAAAGGAGAAGTCTCCACATTCGAGATGCATGGAAACTGTCAAGTACATTCGTTCCGAGAAACTCTACTGGTTGCTCTACGCCATTTTCCCCTCCACCAGTTGGACACCAGTCCGCAACCGAGTGCTGTCTCACTACACGCCTGCTTCCGAACAGACTTGAAGCAAAGTTTTTCTTGTACAGGTGCTTGCTAACCACTGCTATTACGTACAGTTCCAATTCAGCGCGTACGCGGAGAGTCTGAGGCTTGCACTAAGGCTTGGAATAGGCCTACGGAGTAATATTCTCGGAGGTCTTGCTCTCTGTACATGTGCCCACATGCCTCTATGTGCCCACATGCCTCCGCCCCTGACAGTTCAATCTACTCTGCTTTCTCTAAGTGCTGCCTTCAGCGTATACCGATATCTTTGAGCGGTAGAATGCAGCGTAGCCTGCCATGGCTTGCCGCACGAGACGCGTGTTTGGAGTCTTAGAAAGGCTCCGCAGGAGCGTGTCTGCTTAACGCTCTCCTGTAGACCTCTTTGTCGCCTGTTCTCGTCTTGTGAACACACCTACGATTGCGGAAATGAATGCACCGCAACTAGGCGCTGAGGCTTCGCGCTTCGTGCTGACGGCTTCTCTCTTTCTGTGCGTTTGTCTGTGTCAATGTTGCACGGCTCTACAGCAGGGCGGCAAAAGAAGCCCATATCGAGCCAGCTGCCCGAGTGCCATGAACTTCTTTTCGAGAAGATGAGAAAGCAGCTCGTTGCTTCACATGCATTCACGTTTGCTGTGACGGAAAAGCCTTTATCCAAGGGAGGCAGTGCAAGAGACAGGAAGCCAGCTAGCCGAATGGGCGTGCACAGCAGAAGCAAGCAGGAACTGCCAGGCAGACGTCCATGCGCACATCGAGCAGGGAAAGAGACTCTCGTGGATGATGCAAAAGAAGCAGAAGACAGGAAAGGAGCTGGAGCGTGTGGAAACGCTTCAAAAACAGAGATCCATCTACCGCCAAGTCAAAAAAACGCTCCTGAGTTTCGTTAGCAGAAGCTGCAAAGCGCTGGAAATCCGTCATAAAATGCATGCAAGCACGCATGTAAATATCAGGGAGTATCTGTGTAGTGACACTTGAAAGCACACGCCGCTGCCGTTGCTGCTGCTGCCGTTGCTGCTGCTGCCGCCCATGAAGACAAAGGGGTGCAGCAGCGGTATTTAGTGTGTGACTTCCTGCTTTTGCCCGTTAAGAGGAAAGAAGAGAGAAAGCTGTCTCTTCTTTTGTCTGTACTTTGCAACAGCGTGCGTTGCATCAAAGGCACACGGCAGCGCCAACTCAAAGGCTTCCCCAGAGACGGCAAAACACCCCTTCACGGTTAGCACATTGCTGCCGCTGCTGCTGCTAGAGCTGTCTGACGCAGAAAGGATTTCCAGTGTATCTGGAGCGACTGCAGCAGCGAAAACAACCCGAAACTCTGGCACCCCCCCCTCCGAAATGTGCAAACTTAGCGTGTAGTTGGCTGCTGCTGCGGGCTGCAGCTGCGCCTGATGCTCTTGCAACAGCTGCGAAAAGCAGTGCTGCAGCATGGGCTTTGTAGTCGCAAGAGGGTCTGGTTCCTCTTTCTGCGTTTGCTGCTGTAGGCAATCCTTCTCACGCTGCATCTGCCGATGCACTGCTGCATGCGCTGCTGCGGAACTGCTAGCGCTTTCGGTGCTGACAGTTGCTGAAGCCTCTGATCTGCGGAACCGTCTTGTGGTCGTAGCACTTAGAAGTGGTTGGTGCTCCGAATGCTGCTCTTGCTGTTGCAGCTTCTTGTCTAGCACCAATGAATACGGTGCACTTGCATTGCTGCTGCTGGGACTGTTGCTATTGTTGTCGCTGATAGTGCTCACACTGTTTCTATCGTTGTTGCTCATACTGTTGCTATTGTTTTTGCTCATACTGTTGCTACTGTTTCTGCTCATACTGTTGCTACTGTTTCTGCTCATACTGCTGCTATTGTTTCTGCTCATACTGTTGCTATTGTTTTTGCTCATACTGCTGCTATTGTTTCTGCTCATACTGCTGCTGTTGCTGCTTTGCGCCTTCAAGTTCTGCTCCTGCTGCTGTGCCTTGTGTGGGGATTCTGGTGCCTCAGTTTCTCCGCCTATCACTTCGATGAGAGAGGCCCCCTTTGCAGCGGCAGCTGGCTTCCCCTCGAGGTGTTGTTGTTGTTGCCGCAATGCTTGAAGCGGATCGAAGCTCAGCGGTGTCTGATGGTGCTGCTCTTCCTGCTGTTGACGCAACTGCTCCGCCTCCTTGCGTGATGGCAGATGAACACTTACCTCCTGCCTTTGAGACTGAGACTCAGCAGCTGCAGCGGCTGCAAGCGCAGACCCCACCTTAGCAGCAGCAGCAGCAGCAGCTTCTTTAGCAGCAGCAGCAGCAGCAGCTCGTGCAGCAGGAGAGAGACAGGCGACTTGCGGCAAGTGCTCTTGAGGCTGCTTCGATCCCTTGTACAAAAGTTTCGGGAAAGAAAACGTTTCCAGTAGGGGGTTCACCGTTACTGTGCATGCAGCCGCTGCTGCTGCTGCACTCTGCCCAGCTCCTGCTATGCTTTTCGCTGTTGCTCGTGATACCCCCCCCGCGGCATGTACCGAGACAGTGCTACCCCCAGGAAGACGCAGAACCTCATCTATCTGCTGCTGCTGCTGCTGCTGATGCTGATGCTGATGCTCCTGGCGTGCCAACATCTCCTCCAGCGGAAGTAACTGTTGCAAACACAAAGAGCTGAGGAGACACTTGAAACGCGGATTGGCACGGGCCTCCTTCACAGCTGCTGGGTGTACCACTACGTCCACAACTACCCTGCTGCAAGCTGAATTCGCGCTGCTGCCGCTGCTGCTGCTGCTGCTGCTGCTGCTGCTGCCATCGCCCTTGTTATTGCTGCTATTGCTGCTGCTGCTGGTGCTGCTGCTGGTGCTGCTGCTGGTGCTGCTGCTGCCGACCACGGCCAGCAAGGGAGATAAGCGCGAGTTATCTGTACCAGCATTAAGCAGCTCGCTGGACCTGTGGCTGCTCTTTCTGCTGCTGCTGCTACTACTACTACTACTATTGCTGCTATTACTGCTATTGCTGCCATCAAGGCTGGATTCTTTTGGGGGCAGAACCCTCCGACTGCCAATGCTGACAGTAATCTTTGCCGTTTGCCACTCGGCAGCCGTAGCAGGCAGTTTGCTGCTGGTGCGTTGCTCAGGAGGCTTGATATTTGTAGAGCAGCACACATTGATAAAGTAATCCAGCTGCCGCCACACATCCGCAGAGCCCTTGCTGCCGTTGAGGCTGCTGTTTTTGTCTTGTGGCTCGGTAATCACACGAATCAGCTCATGCTGCTGTTGCTGCTGCAACAGATGTATGCGGAGTCTGAAGACAAAGCCAGGCGTTGGGGTAAATGCCGCAAGCTCGGGCGTAACTAGAGCTGCCTCCGCTGCTTCTGCATCTGTCACTGCTGCTTGTGGCGGAGCAGAGGCGCCTGCTGAGTCACCTCGACGCTGTTGGATAGCTGGCTGCTGTTCGATCTGCTGCACCTGCTGCTGCAGCTGCAGCTGCTGCTGAATAAAAGCTCGGTATTGCAGGGGGTCCTGTTGTGCTAGCTCATCGAGAGTCTTCCAGAGAGCAGCAGCTTGCTGATCTAGCGCGTCCAGGCCGAGAGGTAACATCCTGCTGATGCTGTCTTCTCAGCTGGTGCTGCTGACGGGCTCCGTCTCTCGTCTTCGCCACTTGTACTGCTGCCGATGCAAGGGGGTGGTTGCATGCCGCGCGCAGCTGCACTTAATCCCGCCACTGTACAGTCTACAAGGCAAGCCTCAAAATGGAGAGGCGGATAGCCGGAACTCAACACTGCGAAGAAGAAATTCTTTCATGCCTACGCATCATAGAGCCCCTCAGCATCGATGCATAAGTAGGACCCCATGGAGGAAGTCGACAACTTTGAATGCTGAACAAGCCCTCAGCTCTGAAGTGGCACGACTTTGTGGGTTTTCCGTGCACTAGGTACTTTGTTTTGAGGCCTTGTAACCAGGAATGATGTGCAACGCAGTAGTGGTGCTCCCTGCAGATGCTGCCGTCGCGCCCTCTAGAGCAGCAGCAGCAGCAGGCGGTTCGCTGAACAAGCCGGAAGTCCGTTACATTGCAGCAACGCAGTAGGATACACCTAAATCTACGCATAAAGATGCTTCGCACTAGTACTGCGGCACAAGTCCTCGGCTAATGCTGGAATTGCGATGCAGCGACACCATCTCCAGCAGCCGCAATAAAATGGCAGCAGCGCCACGGGCAGCCGAGGCGGCAGCCCCCGAGTCGGCGTAGTGCAGAAATCATGAAAATTGACCTCTCTGTTTCCTTGCACTCATAAAATTAGCCAAGACATAATACTAATCCTCTACGCCGGACACACGTTCATCTTCGGATGATTCCAGACACACGAACTGCAAAAACATGCATGCCATAACCGACTCAATGAAATACGGTCGTCCAGGACGACTCTCTACTCAAGGGGGAGCGAACATAAATGCCTCTTAGAATGCGGTCACGGCCGTAGCACTATGCGCAAACAACGACAACCATCTGCAAATCTGGCGCTTTCCCTGTGTATTGTGCTGGATAAACATGTGGAACCTGTGTGCGCGCCCTGCTAAACGCATGGAAAAGTTAGCATGTTCAGAGAATACGGCCGCTTTATCCAAGTGCCGTCCTGCTCTCCCCTCAGTAAGCCAACAAAGTCACTGGGGGTCTCTGGAACGGCGGATAATAAGAAACGTTCGAACTTCATTACCCGGCCATTGCACCGTACCTAGGGCTCGTCTGTACGGAAGCACTTCTTGTCGGATCTACCCCGTCTAGCAAGACAACCTGATTTGAAGAGACTTCTGCATCATTGCAAAACGCAATATGTTTCGCGCCTTTTCTGTATAACCCCATGACCTTGGCCAAAAGGCAAGGTTAACTAAGCGCAGCTCGCAGTACGCCCTTTCCAGTCCCGACAGTTGCACGGAGGCACTCCCCTGAACGACTGACACACGCATTGTGTATTCTTACAGAACAAGGTACACTTGCCTTCGGAGAACAATATGGGAGCATCCACTGCATACAGTTGAAGGTAAATGCATCGCAAGGAGGAATATATTATCAGAGGTACTCGTAGGCGGCTATCCTTTTTGAAAGCAGCATTGCCCCTATTTCCGGCAGTCCGGAGTGAACGGGATTCTGAGGTGTTCCATCTGGGTTCTTCATAAGAAGACACTCAACAAAAGACGGGCTCAACACAAACCAAATAGAGAGTTAGTGCATCTCGTTTCAAAGAACTCCCGCCTTCCCTTGCCCACGCCTATTAATGTTCCCAGCATGTGGGATAGGGCCAAGTACAAAGCGCGTAGTTGCACCCTCTACGGACTCCGAGCATTCGCAGCTAATTGCATGCACATACCATCTAGCGCAGACGCCCGCAACATTGCTTTTACTCTGTTGACCTAACGCTACTGTGCACCAAATAAGAGATGCAGACAAAAATACCAAGTAGTCAAGCTTCAAATATTTCTTCTTCCATTTCTTCTCCAAGACCACCAGTGTGCTAGAAAATATGCAAGTATCACTTAACCCGGTACACCAAATGTAGGCCGCCCATGGCAGTCTGCGAACAGCTACCCCGGGTCGTCGCTGCATGCCCCTCTTTTGTCTAGTTCCTCTTCTCAAGAGATCGGTAGACGTGAAGATAGCTAGCTTTTCGAGGGTCCTCCACCTGTAGCTGAGTCAGGGCCAAGTGCCTTGCTTACAAGTTGTGCTCAACAGATACGCTCAACGGAGTGCTTATTACAGTGCTACACGCACGAATGCTTGTCTGCTTTCCCCTTAACCAGTCGGCAGGAATAGAGGATAGCACCCTGCTTGCAGAACTGCCACAAAAATACTTAGTGGACTGCAACAGCCGAGGCCAGGCAATCGAAATGATTCGTCACATTCACGCTGTCGAGGTCTGGAAAATCATTGCCTCTTGCGTCTCCAAAGTCTTTCAGTCGAGGAGCGAAAGAGCGAAACGACCTGATGGCAGAAAAGGTGTGCGGCATTGAGGGCTGAGGTTTTAGAAAAAGCTAGGACAGGGCAGTCCAACCTCCCCACAGTAAACAGGGTAATTCCCAGGAAAACTACTTGGCCTGGAGAATGCGAGCGCATGCACATGCTCGGATGTCAGGTGATTTCATAGGATTATGCCACGCGCTATTCATTTAGGGCTCCTTTAGGCGCACATCAGAACCTTGCCGCAGAGGAGTTGCCTTCCGTCACAGACAGTTTTTCACAAATGCTCTGGTTCGTGGCGGATCATTGGAGGGAGAGCATGATCAGTTCCACCAGCGGAGGCTTCTGGCTTTCTGTGCAGAGCTCGTGACAGGCAGTGTGTATGCCAGACAAGCGCCGGCGCAACATACCTCGTCAAGTTGTGCTTTGCCCCAAACTTACCCTTAGAAAGCAGTATACAGCACTCAAAACGGCGGGCTAAGAGTGTGCTCTGCACCTGCTGTAAGGCGTGGCCATGCACTTCCCCAGGGCGGAGTGCAAGATCAAACTCTGCCTCACAGGGAAGGTCAATAGGGGGTCTAGCGATTTCTCCAGAGGAATCCCCTGTGGCGAGCTGGCCTATGCTACTGCCAGCCCGCACGCAGAGCGCTCCCAGCGCTAGACACGAGCCTTAACGGATTTTGGTGCCTCCTGTAGCATGTTGTGGCCGGAAAGTGAGACGCAGTGCTGTTTAGCTAAAGGATCATCTAGGCTGCTTGAGCTCCCGAATGGCAAGTACTTCGCCACTCCGTCGCCGAATGCACGAGTGCGCGCAGATAGCCAGTAGCATTTCATTGAGCACCCATGAGTCTTGTCGACATCCTAAAAGCATGCCGAGCTGTAGGCTGCTTGACAGTAGTATACCTTCAACTACGTCCATTTCTGAAGGCTGCCCTGACTGTTGAACAAAACAGTCTTCGTCTGTATGGAAAAAGCCTCTGCATTGGCTTTTTCTAAGGAGGCCCCCCTTCTCTAAATCGCTCTCGTGCCACTTGCAACTTCACCAAAAACTGAACTCTCCCGTGGCAAATCATGTGCTCATGCATGCATGCGCCCCCAGATACCGCACGTCTACTGCGTAATCGCGGCATCACCCGACAGCAAGTCCCCTGTAGGAGAAGGAGGCCTGAGAATGCCGCTTTTTAAAGCCCCTGCACTCGTTCTCTGACCTTTCACGCGCCGTACATAGACAGCTGCCGCTAGTAGGCAGCAGTCCGCTAAAAAAAGCCGTCTGCAGGAAGGACCCTCCTCACACCGCCATCTGGAGGCCCCCTAAGGCCTCTGCCCTGCTGCTGCTCCTCCCGTTGATGCTGCAAAAAATGGTCCTACCTACTTCGCTTCCCTACAAGGTGCTGCTCTTCCCTTCAGCATTTGGCATACTGCCAAAGACACTGCAGCTGGCTCCTCAATAGAGGTCGACCTGCAGCTGCGTGACAGCAACAGAGTTCAGCTCTTTACGCAGCTGAAATTGTTAGATTCAGGACACCTCCTCGATAGAGGACCTCATGTGCCTCTAGCGCGATGAAAATACTTTTTAAAAATATCATAGGATCTCTCCAAAGGACTCACGCGCACGTTCTGATGCTCCAAATATGAGGGAACCTACCAGCTTCAAATTTACGACTCTGTGAAGCACCGGGTTGTCAGTGAAGCCGGCATGCTCTGCACCCCAAGCGTCTGAACACGTAGACCAGACGCGGCCGTCGTAGTTGATCTTGTTGGACTCAAGTGCAAGCGGCGTCAAGCCTTAGAGGCTTTTCAAGGCTCACAACAACTGCAGCAGCAGCAGCAACTGGCGGGCAGACTAGTGCAAAAAGTTTCCGCGAGTTTTGCAGGATTCGCCAGGAGAGTGTTAGCCGAAGAGGCTGCGGCCGTCGAGGCAACGGCGCGAAGTGCTGCCACTGCAAAGAGAGGCACAGAAAACGCAGGCAGCGGAAGGACGGCCAGCGCCTCTACTTTTTTTGCTGCATGCCGCTCTGTAAACTGCTACTCCTGCTGCTGTTACTCCTCGTACTGGTACTCCTGCTGCTGTTACTCTTGCTACTGCTACTCCTGCTACTGTTACTCTTGCTACTGCTACTACTGCTACTGTTACTCTTGCTGCTGCTGTTACTACTGTACTGCTACTACTGTTACTCTTGCTGCTGCTGTTACTACTGTACTGCTACTACTGCTGCTGTTACTTCTGCTACTGTTACTCCTGCTACTCTTACCACTGCTACTCCTGCTGCTGTTACTCTTGCTACTGCTACTACTGCTACTGTTACTGCTGCTGCTGTTACTACTGTACTGCTACTACTGCTGTTACTTCTGCTATTACTGCTACTACTGCTGCTGTTACCACTGCTACTACTGCTACTTCTGCTGCTGTTACTACTGCTACTACTGCTACTACTGCTACTGCTACTCATGCTACTGCTGTCAATACTGCTACTGCTGTTGCTACTGCTACTACTGCTGGTGTTCGTATTGCTACTACTGCTGCTGTTACTACTGCTACTGCTATTACTGCTGCTGTTACTTCTGCTACTGTTACTACTGCTACTGCTACTACTGCTGCTAAATGTCTGCCCTAAGAGTGCAAGTACATGGTGGCTCCCCAAGCGGTTGTGTCGGTACACTAGGCGCAACTTCTTGGAAGTCGAAGTTGGCGTGGCGCTTCGGCTGGTCGTGTAGGGGCGTTTGCGCTGGAGGTGCTCTGTGTTCTTTCGCCTCAAGTGGCGCGAGACGCACAACTGCCTCCCCAAAAATCGTGTATTCCCGTCCTCCACGAGGTGTCTGTACAGCGCGTCCCGCGAGCGACGATGCAACTAACCGCCGCAGTGGCGGTGTGGCGCAGGCATGGGAGCCTCCCGAGAGAGCGGCAGCAACACCTGGGATGTGCGCTGAAGAGAACGCATTCGGAAGAAATCATAAGCCATAATCATGCATTAAAACGCCCTAGTGCGAGGGTCGAATACCCCTAGGCAGGCGTAGGCGGATCATCATCATGACCGCTGCTGGTGTGGAACCGCAGCGGCTGCGTGGCAGCAGGAGCCCGGAGTCGGCGCAGGTGGTGGAGCGCGTTGTTTTGGCAATCCGTTCTTGTTATTCGCATGCCACGCGAGCATTAATGCTTATTCCACAAGTCCTTTAACGGTTTTAGTGGGAGACAACGGTGCAGACACGAGACCCTCCTCTGAGGCTCGTGGGCAGCGGCAGCGGCGTGCCAGTCCAGCAGCAGGAGCAGCAGCAGCAGCACAGCCAAGAGCACCAACAAGGCCGACAAGGGGAATTTCAGCAGCCTCCAAAAAGGCAGAAACAAGAACCGCAGCCAGCAGCCACAGAAACAGCAAGTGTGGCTGCGCACATGAAACGAGCGACACACACACACCCATGTATACTCCCAGGAGCTGCACTGGTAACATCGCTCCAGGGAGTTTAGCGTGCCCCTATCATTCCTGAATGCCCTCACCGGAGTTTCTCCTCCCGACTGCATCCTCTCGAAGCCTCGCTACGAGTGGCATCGAGGCTTTCTGTCGCGAAAATCAGCTATTCTGCCCTTGCAAGTGTAGTCGCGCTCTTAAGGGCCGTCCCCTGTGGCTTCAGCTACCGCAGATCCCGTGCGGCTGCAGGTTTCCCGCCGCTGCTGCAGAGCGGTATACCGCTGATGCTGCTGCTGCTGCAGCAAGCTGCAGCAGCAGCAGCAACAACAGCGCAACGGCAGCCACTGCAGGAGCAGCTGCGAAGTCGCGCCATCGATGCCCCCCCTACCTCAGGCTTCCTCCAGTGTGTCTTGTTGCGGTGTGAGAGGGGAATACGATGATACAGACGGCTGCAGTCGTAACAGCAGCTGCTGGAGGAGGCGGTGCTGCAGAGGACCCTCCCAGGAGCAGGAGCAGCAGCAGCAGCTTCGGGGGGAAGGAGGAGGAAAAAAGCCGCCCTCCGCGTCTCAGGCTGCCTCGCGATCCTCCCCAGGAAGCCACTGGATAGCCTTCATGACACTCACGGGATTGCTGCTCGCAGCAACAAGTAGCAGCTGTGCAGCAGGTGCTCGGACGCCCTGCAGCAAGAATTTCGCAGCGCTTTCGGTAGCTCCTTCCCTCGGCACGCGCTCACCTCCCCAGGCTTTTCTGAATGCGCGATTCCTCCCAGTCCCTACCGCCGCGTCGGGGTGTCTCTACAGCAGCAGCAGCCCGAGCAGCAGCAGCAGCAGCGCAAGCAGCAGCTCTGCCGTGGTCACCATGGGTTCTGCGATGCACAGAATGCCGCTGCCTCTTAAATTATCTTCAGCATCTTTCCGTTTGCAGCCGCTTGCAGCGCGAGGAAGCAGAAGCTTGCCTACCAGCAGCAGGGAGAGCAGAAGCACACCTACCAGCAGCAGGGAGGGCAGAAGCACACCTACCAGCAGCAGGGAGAGCAGAAACACACCTACCAGCAGCAGGGAGAGCAGAAACACACCTACCAGCAGCAGGGAGAGCAGCGATCTTGACACCACTCTGTGCAGCACGAAGCCCACTACGACTACCACTACCACTACTACTACGACTCTTACCACTAGGGGCAGCAGCGTGGCATCGCGTGTGAAGCACTGGCTGTGGCGAATGCACATTGCTCTCGTTGCGGCTAGCTCCCTGATAATATGGGAGGCTGCGCTTCTCTTGAACGCGGGATATTCCTCGGCTGGAGGCTTTTGTCTGTCAATAATTGCCGGAGGTGCTGCTGTTGCCAGCACCTGCTGCAGCAGCGTCTTTCCTGCGGGAGCAGCCGTATGCGAGAGATTCCACGCTGCAGTAAAGCAGCAGCAGCAGCAGCTCCAGCAAGACAGGGCAGCACGCGCTGCCGCTATCTCTCAGCTCTGGGCAAGAGCAGCTCTCAGTGCGCTCTTCAGTGGGCAGGGGGAACTGCATGCGAGGCTTCGAGGGGGTGCATTTGGATTGCGACTCGGGGAGAGAGGGGAGAGGAGAATCGCCGTATCTTGCCTATCCGAAAAAGCGAGCTTGTGTGTGTTTGTGTGTGTGTGTGTATGGCATGCAGCCGTGGGTTGCTTACGTCCCCGTGTATCGGGGGTAGAAAATGCCTTGTTCGTGAGGAGCCGTCATGGAGGGCCTTGTCTGGTGGTTTGCAATCATTGCGGTTTGATCGACATCCCCCTTACTGGAGGCTTTCTGCCGCTGCAACACATTCGCTTCGTGTCGAAGCAGGAAGTGCTGCGCTGGCCAGTCATAGGTAGGAAGCGGAGCTGAAGGCTGCTGGTGCTGGGTGGGCTGCGAAGATGTGTATGTACACTTGAAGCGCTTTGATTCAGTGAGAGGAGACTGGCGATGCAGCTCTGCGTATATGTCCGCCAACTCCGCTGAGGGTGGCTCCTGAACGCATGTGTACTTGGGGGAAGGGGTAAACTCTTGCCCATCCGCATTCGAACTGGAGGGTTTGAAGGCTTTGCACTCTCAAAAAGGCGCCTCTAGCAGGCATTTCCTCCATATAGATATACATATATACATATACACATATATATATATATATATATATATATATTCATATACTCATATACACTGAAACACGAAAGTGTTGTCGCTTGTGCCTTTCTTCTTCGTGCGCCAAGCCCACCTCCACCTTTGCGTGTCGATCTTCATTGTCTTTTTTTAAAGAGACCTTTTACTGCATACCTGCTTGTTGCGTTCAAAGACTCGCGCACACCAGCCTCCTCTTCGCCTCTCATTCCCTTGCTGCGTCTATCTATTTCCGTTTGCCTCTGTGTCCGTCTGGGTGTCTATCTCTCTGTGTGTGTATCTGTGTGTTTGTCTGTCTGTGTGCTTCTAGCTGCCTGTCTGCCTGTCTGTCTGTGTATCTAGCTGCCTGTCTGCCTGTCTATCTATCTGTGTATCTAGCTGCCTGCCTGTTTGTTTGTCTGTGTATCTAGCTGCCTGTCTGCCTGTCTATCCATCTGTGTGTGTATCTATATATCTCTCTCCCTCTCTGTCCTTTGGTCCTGCCCTTTCCGTTCGACGCTGCGTTTGTGCTGCACCTTGCTGCCTTCGCAGGAGGATCTCTGGTATCTGCTGCAAGCTGAACTATAGTTATGCAGCACTGGCAACACCTTGCTTTTCTTGTGCGTGCGTGTGGTTGCTTGCCCTATCCTCCTCAGGGCGTGCAATGCGCGAAATTGGAGTTGTAGGCTTCGACAGAAACTCAGTGGCGGGAACGGTACGACTTGTTCGGGAGATGTCTCAGGTTGTGAAGGAATACACGCGAGGAGCTTCAACAGAGAGCTCTCAGGCTGGCAGCTTCTCCGGAGAAGTTTCTCCAGGGGAGCAACCGTTCATGCAGCCCTCTGTATGTACTTCGGAGAACCTGCAGAAAAAGACACCCCCAGTGTTTCTCGGATTTCCTGAGGGCAGCAGAGCAAGGGACGGCCGTGTAAAGTCTCCCAAGCTTGGCTTATTCCAAATCGCCAAAAAGGTGAGCAGCCATGCGGAGGGGTAGAGGCGGCAAGATGCGAGGGAGGGAGGAAAGAAGGCATTAAAAGCGGTTACGCTGAACGGATAGAAGAGCGAGGCTGAGCAGACTGGGTAGGGCTGCGAGGCGTAAGGCGGCCGAAGCAGAAGGAGTTCAACGAGAGTTAGAGATGCGCGCAAAAGTGTTATCAAAAGCTTTCATAGAAGCGAAGTATTTATATATGTCTATATGTATATATATGTGTCTATATGTATATATGTGTGTCTATATGTATGTATACGTGTATATGTGTATATATATGTGTCTATATGTATGTATACGTGTCTATATGTATATATATGTGTATATATGTATGTATATGTGTCTATATGTATATATATGTATATATGTATATGAATACATACATACATATATATATGTGTATATGTACGAAATATTGCTGGAACGCGGAGAGAAGGTCTAGCTGGGCGTAGGGGCGTAGGAGAAACTGCGTCACGAATTTGAGAGTCACACAGCCGTACATTTAGGAGTCACCGACGTGGCAAACTCTGTATCCAGAGAAGCAGGGGAGGGTTTGGACAGACACAGCGCAGGGAGGCGCGCGAAGCGGGGGAAGGGGGAGCTTATTTGCCCTGTTCCATATGCGCAAGTAGATGGAAACATGTGTAAGAGCCACTGGCGAGAAAGCAGGCTATAAGGAGGGGGGATCAGCATGGGCTACAAAAGGAGGCCGGCTGCGGCGGAAAGCGCGCTGTCTGTACTGCTCGTTTTGCATTGTTCGGCGAGCTTTTCTTCGGCTTTCGCCGGATGTCGGCAGCTAGTGGGGTTGTTGTCCTGTGTTAGATGTGCATGTTTCTGCAGCTGGGGCTTTTGTTGTTACCAGTTTCCATAGTCGGCGCTCACAAGTTGCAACCCGTGGGAGAGCTTCTCCCCATACCGCTAGACTCTCCCGTAGAGCTTCACATCCATCCCTCCGTAGACCCCCGCTTCAAGACAGTGGTGCGTGTACATCGCTCTCGCCGTTGCCGCCGTGGCAAGGAGCTGCCTCAGCCTCTGCGCCTCTGCAGGAGGCGTTCTGTGGGGTATGGCCTCTTAGTGGAGTCATGCGCACGGGCATCAGCGTCCGCTGCGAATGCATTTGCTGCAGGAGGAAGCGGCGCGAGAAACGTGGGAGGCGATAATTCGTGGCCTTCCCGCAGAGCAAAGGCCCCTAGGCCGCATCCAAATCTGAGGGTTCCAAACGACAAATAGAGCAAGAGAAGTATGTCGATGCGGCAGCAGGAGCTGTATGTGATGCGCCTGCTCCTCTTGCCTCTGTACTGCAGTGTGTCTGTTGCTGCTGCAGAGGCAGGAACTGTTGACAGAAAGACAGACACAGACAGAGTAAGGGAGACGTCTGGTTACATTTGCTTGACTATTCGCCGGTGTCTCGCCTGTCATTTTCTTGGCCTGGGGATATGTTGCTCTCTCCTCAAAGCCTTTTACCAGAAATAAGGAATTTCCGTCCACCATCTGTTTCCGCCTTGATCCCCTGTAGTAGCAAGCAAGCACACCGCTAGTTGCAAAAAGAGGGATGCGGGGGAGGGGTGTCTGAAACATGGGGGCACGAGGATTCAGGGGGCTATGAAAGGGGGAAGGCTTACAGCGACACTGGCATGCAAAGCCAGAGAGATACGGAAAAGCGAACAAAGGACTAACGAGCAGTCACCTTCTTTCTTCCCACCATTCATCGCCCCTAAGCCCCCCACTTGGCTCCCCAAAGCCTTCAGCGCCTACTTGCTCCATGCCATTCGTTGTATGAAACGACCATGCATCTTCCCGTTGTGCGCGCTCTCTCTCTCTTACTCTCTCCACACACACACATACACACACATGCACGCACCATTATAAACTCGAAATCAACTTTAATTAGTGGACAAGTGTCTAGCCAGGCGGGAGGGCCTATTTGGCCGCTGTGAGGGAAGGATTGCTGCGTGGCGTGGCCTTCCTTCTTGTGTCAACACGGAGTCTCTGGTGCGTTTTTTGCACTGTTCCCCCGCGCTGCAACAGAAAGAGGTCGTAACCTATCAGTCAGAGAAAATTATAGAACGTGCGCGAGTCAAGGAGCGAAAATTTCATTTTTGCATCTCGGAAACTTGTTAGAAAGACAAATGAGGCAACTTCTCACCTTCAGGAACCGAGAGGCAGGAAGAAATTCATGAATAAGTCGGCTCACTGCCGCAAATGTAAATAAAGCCATCCAGTCTAGACACATTGTGTTAATAATTATGTGAACCAGAGCTTAGTGCCCCTCTTTCGCTCGTTGAGTCAGGCATACATGATTCCACTGGCCTGAATACACACCCACGCCAAACCTCCCGCAAGCAAGTGTCACTAAGCAAGCCGAAAGCCTTCTATGCAGCCGCGGCACCTGCATAAAGGAGACCATAGAACCCAAGCCATTCATCGTCCTCCTCATTCACAGCTAGTTATCTTACTGAGATATGTTGCCTCGTGTCTCCCCATTGCAGTCTAGCAAGGAGGCAACCAGTAGCGGTGGCCGTCTGCGGCGCCGTGCCTTAGCCCTTGCTGCCAATCACCCCCTAATAAGAAGCATTTAAGGCCAATTAGTCCCTTTTGCGTCCACCAAGCAACAATGTGTCTGAATAGGTGCGTGGACACGTGCCTCGCTAGGCCCTTCAACAGGTGGTTGCGTAGGGAGCAAAGTTGGGAGCTGCCTACGCCCTCCCAGTTACCTCAAAGCCTCATTCTCTCGAGTCCTCCTTTTCGACTCGTCATTAAAACATTTTTGCGCCCCCACCCCAATTTCACCCACAGATTATCAGGTAATCCTTCAGAAGAACTGCGGCTTCCCTTCGCCTCTGTCCACTGAGTCGCGTCATGAAGGCAGCGAGCAACGCATCTCTAGGGTGTACGAGGGTTTCTGCACCCTTCGGTCACTCTAAGCATTCAGTCACACTCAGTCGCGCACAGAAAAATGCTTCAGTGTTGCACAGTGTTGCAAGCTAAGCTAAACAATACACATTCTTGTGCACTTCGTTTCATAAAACTACGAATTAGTTTTGAGCTGGCTACTTGGTTTGTGGCTTTGTGTCTCTTCCTAATTATGGAGAACTGGTCGTTTGATACATTGAAATGCAAAGCTGTGTTCGCATGCGCTAGATACTACGTGTAGCTAGCTGAAATGTTCGGAGTGCTAGAGGGGTGCAGCTACGCGAGCACAAGCTGGCCTTCTTTTCTCACAACGGAAACCCTCAGGCGCGGGCACAAAAAAGAGCCGAAGGTTTTTTTTCGGAAAATACTCGATAGCTTTCTAGTAACTTTATACTTATTTGGAGTTGAGTGTCTACGTACAAAGACTATAAAAGGCCTTACACACAGCCCGGGTTCGTCCCTATCTGATCAAGCTCTTCTCTCCTAAAATATACACCGACCGAGCCAACCAGCCAGCTTCTAATCAAATAGACCACCAGCGAATTCGGTAGTGCTCAGGTGTAGCCTGGGAATGCACCCTTCCCAAGTGACCCTCGCACGGCAACGTTGGGGGAGGTCGCAGTTCCTCTCCTCACAGCCTCCAAAATGCAGTCTTAATACGCTTCAAGAATGTGTGCTGCAGTCAAACTGAGAAGGTCTCCTCCAAGAAAGAGGGATAGACAGACGGGGAGAACGCCTCTCCCCCCACACTTAGACCATGCATTCACACAGATTCAGCCGTTAGGGCAGAGGGAGTCTACTAGTAGCTGAAGCATGTATATTTAGCCGAGTGCCTACGTTAATTTAGATTGGATATGATTTTATGGGATGTATCGCTTAGAGTGGCCAGTAGGCCCGTTGCTACTATACTTAGGAAAGTGGCCATTCGAAACGCACCGCCTTGATTCAGACTTCGTCGACGAGATGAATTCCTCTAAAGCCTATACTAATAAGGGCCTGAAGTGTAGCTTTTAATAGGGCAACTGAAGTGTAGCCTTCATCCTGAGGGAACAGCAGCGTAAGGGCTCAACACGTGCCGCCGACTGACCAGATCTTGGTGGTTCATATCGTACAGATCCCTTGATCCTAAGGCCAGCACCCCAGAGCTCTCCTAACAAATCCTTTATTACTCTCATGTAAACCTAGATTACACCTTGGAACCCAAATCCTGATTGTCAATACCACCCATTACGGCCGACTTTCTACCTTGCGACTTTGCGCAGCGCGCTTCTTCCCATCCTCAGGAGGCAGCTCCCCTGCGATCGCAACACTATTCTTTCCCCATTCTAATTCCATTAGGGCTTTCTGAGGCCCTGGTTGCCAAATCCCTGTATTTGTAGCCCTCTCTGAGCCTCACATGCGCCTTGACAACCCCCTCTGGAAGCACCCGTGAAGCGTGCAACGACGCCGCCAGCGTGGTTCCGGTGTACGTACATACACCTCCTCAGTGGCCATGGCGGCATTTGCGGAACTCGCGCTTTGCCCCGAACTGGTGGCTGCCACGGAGGAGGAAGGCTGGATTCTTCCAACCGCGATCCAGGCAGATGCCATCCCGCTCATCTTAGGAGTAAATTGAACCACACATCGACTGCACACAGGGGGAGAGGCTTGCTTTTCAAGCTCGCCTTGAGCTGTTACGCCGATCGTCAGGGAGTACCAAGCACTTGGGCTTCACGCCAAGACCGATTTTCGCAGAACCGTTGATACTAGAGCTGCTGTGGGGGCGTAGCGTGTGCTTTTTAGAGACAGCAATTAACGCCAGCAGCCGTTTCTAGTTCGTATTTCGCGGTTTCCCGCTGCCTTCCTGCGGAGAAGGCGAGCGACGGGGGCCCCATATAGGGGGCCCCTTCTGGCTCTTTGGGAGTCTTGCACCGATTTCAGTCTCTGTGCCTCTCCTACGTCTTCGCCTTTTGCTTTTGTGCGCCTTTAGGGGGGGGATATCTGCGCCGCGGCAGAGACAGGCAGCGGCAAGACTGCCGCCTTCGTGCTTCCCTCCTTGCAGCTGGTGCATGAAGCCCTAAGAGGGGTGGCCGTTACCCCCGGGGAAATCCCAGACCAGCCTACAGCTGCGAAAGGTAAGCAGTGTCTCCTCCTGGCTGGGGGTGTCGAGCAAAGACACTGTCTCGACCTTCGAATTCTCGTGCAGCTGCACACGCAGACGGTGCTGTGAGGCGCGTCAGTGTGCTGCATGAAAGCGAAATGCGTAATTCCTAGGCTTGGAGAAAAAGGGGGAAAAATCTCGTGAGATGCGGGCTGCTGCATGCATGCGCTTCAGGACAGGCAGACTGGCGAACCGACGGCAGAGATCGCGATGTGCAAGTTATCTGGTCCTTGCAGCCACCAGGGGCGGCAGGAAGTCAAGAGGGGGCCTCTCCAGTACACCTGCTATGTGCAGATACCGACAACTGGCGAGGTTTCAGAGCTCCCGCAGACATTGCCAGAGGCCTCTATGGGGTGAGTAACCATGAGTGGGGGAAGCCTCATGCGCTAGCCATGCAGCAGCAGCGGCAGCAGTATTCACAGTCGCACAATTTTGTGTTTGCCACGAAAGCAGCCTTGGTTGCGCGGCGGCACGAAATGCAGTCGGGGCAGTGCGTTTGTGCTCAGTTTGAAGTGTATGTACACCGCGGGCTGGTGCGCGTGGGCTTCGGCGCGAAGGCCAAGTCGAGGGTCTTGGGTATGGATGTCTACTCTTTCGGTTTTGGGAGTACAGGAAAAAAGAGTTGGAACGGGCAAGTGCTACCTTGATGCTGCGCCTTTTGCGCTAATCTGAAAAAACAATGCAGACTCTGGCAGGGGGTTTTATTGCACTTCTGTTGGCCACCTCATGATCGGCGGAGAAGGGGTTCCGGGGTGCCTCTGCCGCTGTGCGAGGCAAAAGTCTCTCTGAGATGCAGCGCTGGATCGAGGGCCTTGCAGAGAGACTGATGCTGCTGCTTGCGCGGTAGAATGTCGAGCGATTTGCATGCAGGAAGTTTCTTGACTACGGGCACGCCTTCGGATCAGAAGACACAGTGGGCTGCGTTCTAGACCGCGACAAGAATACGGTTTCTTTTGCCGTGAATGGGAAGCCCCTTGGCGTTGCCTTCCAGCTGCCAGACATGTTGGCAGGCACACCCCTGCAGCCGGGAGTTTGTGGCAAAGGCTTTGAGGTCAATTTCTTGTTAACTCTTGACAGCTGTTTCCACAAAAGTCTCCTCGCCTCAAAATGCACAGAGCTCGGCAAAAAGCGCGGTCTCCTTCTGGGAGTATCGACGCGGAGCACGTTTTACACGTTGCTGAGTGGCTTTTGGTATGGATTTTATTTATATATATACATATATGAATGAATGTATATGCATGTACATATATATACATGAATGTATATATATATATGTATATGAATGTACATATATATAAATATATGTATATATATACATATATATATATATCTATGCATGTACATATATATATATATATGAGTGTATTTCTGCGCAGGTCGAGGTTCGGTTTGCCAACTTTCGTTACCCCCTTGAGGGGGTGAAACCGATAGGCGAGCTGAAGCCTAGCGATTCTCTGCCTGCTTCAAACTGTGGATCAGCGCTTGGAAGCAACAAAAGAGCCATTGGCAGCCTACAAGGGGCCGGCCCTCTGTGTCTGAGCATCGCCCCCACCCGCGATCTCGTCAATCAAACCTTCAGCTGCTACAAACAATTCGGTGCGTCTCAGCTGTTGCTGTAGCTAGCCGATTTCTCCGGCCTGTGGGTGTGGCTTATTTGGGGGGGTCATAGCGCTGCTAGAGGTGGTGCTGCTGCTGTTCCTGCTGCTGCTGCTGCTGCTGCTGCTGCTGCTTCCGATAGTGGTGCTGCTGCTGCTGCTGCTGCTGCTCTTGCGGAAACCTTGTAGGCGGGGCATAGATGTTGGGTGTCTGCGGAGGTTCCCCTGGCGCATGTGTATGCGCTTGCCCCCAGCCTACGAGTGAGAGTGTCTCGAGCTTAGCGATATGTAGGTAATGAGGTGCGTGTGGTCGTGTGTTTATGATTTATTGGGGGGGAATGTGCTTGCTTCGCAGGCAGGCTGCTTGATAGGCCTCGTCTCCGCATCGAGTCGGCGGTTGGAGGAGGCGCAGGGGCCTCTGCGTCGCATAGATCCAATTTTTCAAATGTGCGCAGTCTGGTTCGGACAGAGTTTTGAGAATTTTACTTGAGTTGGGGATGACAGGTTTAGAGTCCACGAAGTACAGGACGTTATTGGGGAGGCTGTAGTCTTCCTCAAGAAGCAGGTGCACGGATTTCGTTTCCAGCGCCGTAGCTGCACAGCATGGATACCTTGTTTGTTGGAAACGAATTCTTGCTCGCAGCAGAGTCTTATCACGAGCCGCTTGCGGCGTTGGCGATATCGGCGAGTTCTTTGCGCAGGTAGACATCCTTGTTGGCACTCTCGACAAGACGTTGGACTTGGTGAAGCGGCGAGTGCTGCCGCTTAGCCGCTTGCAAATGCTGATCATCGATGAGGCGGATGACGTGGTCAAGGACCAGGGCACTAAGAAGCTGCTTGAGTAAGGCGGAGGTATCGCGAGGCGATGGCATCGCGATTCGAGCTTGCATGTATTTTAGCCTTTGTGGCGAGGCTGTGGCACATAGCGCAGGGTGGGTGGGGTTTCGGTTGGCGTGGGAAAGCCTTGCATGATGCGTTTTCACAAGGGCTGCTGCACCCCCTGTGCATCCGTCTTCCTTCCTTTCAGCGAAGTCATGCGAATTCCGTTTTGCGCATGCAGTCCCTCTGCAGTGCAAGGGAGAGGGAACTGGATGGCTGGACGGAAATGTGTACATGCCTATTCATGGGGAGGGGGGAGGAGAGAGGGCCTCCTTCTGGGTGCGGTGTAGACATGGGTGGCATGCATGTGGCAGGCGTTGGAGGGTGCTGCTGTGCTGCTGTCGCTTCAACAGGCTGCAACAGCTGGGCACAGAGGCTGGAGGGCAACGCCTCCAGACTCTATTTTTCTCTGCTACATTGCATACAGAGGCAGCTCTTTCAGCGATTCGCCAAGTGGCACCACGTGCATGTTGGGTTGACCTCAAGGGTACTGCGGTGCTGCCGGACACGGCCCATGTTGTTGTCTATACACTCGACCCCAAGCAGGTGATCCCGCGTTCTTGCATGCATGCATGCCTGATTGCCTGATTGCATGCCTGATTGCATGCCTGATTGCCTGATTGCCTGATTGCATGCCTGATTGCATGCCTGATTGCGTGCATCCTTGCATACAGTGGAGGGAGTGAGGGGGCGCGAAGGAAGGGAGGGGGGTGATGGTGGTGGGGTTGCTAATGCTGCTGATGCTGCCGCTGTGTGCATGCATGCATACATGCATACATACATGCATACATAAATACATACATACATGCATGCACACATAAATACATACATACATGCATACATGCATAAATACATGCATACATAAATACATGCATGCATACATACATGCTGTGGTCACGGGTGAGCGCTGGTCGTGCTGCTTCAGGGATTGCAGTGCGATCTACCCTTGGACGGTTCTATGGGCCCCCCTGAGATTGACGGTGTTCACATTGGGCAGGTTGCTTCAGCGGCAGGAGCAGCAGCGACAGCAGCCGCAGCAGGAAAATCAGTGACAGGCGAAAGTCCAGACTTCCTTTCCTGCAGAACCAAGCTCCTTAAGCCACAGGTGGGGTTGTTGGTTTTTGCAAAAAATTCGTGCTGAAAGCCTCTGGGGGCCCTCTGTTGCGATCACATCATCCGTAGGCACTCGTGCTGCTGCTGGAGGGCATCGGATCTACCCAAGCTTGGGGAGCAAAGTTTGCGTTCAAGAGCTTTTGACGCGTTTTTTTTCCAGGTTGCTGTGACGATAGCGGATGCGCTCAAGATGGATTCTTGTATGCTCATCTGCCGGACAAATCAGGACTGCGATTTGCTAGAAAAATATCTTCTCAAGCTCGGCGGAGGCAGGAAGTTCTCAGGCAGGCGCAGCTAGCTACCCACCACCCATGGCTCGCTTACGCTTCCTCCGCCCTCTTCCTTGACCTCAACCCATAACGCATCTTCTTCTTCTTTGGCGCCTCTCAGTGCAGTATTTCCTTCTTGCATGCACTCCAAACCAGACGGGTTCCCCCTTCCCCCGCCCATCGAGCCACGCCGTCGCAGCGAACTCTGCGTTTCGATTGCCAGCAAAATCAGGACAGACAGATACATATATACCTACATATATACATACATATATTCATATATATACCTACATATATACGTACATACATGCATACGTATATATATATATATGTGCATACAAACTTATATACATGCGTCCAGACATACGTAAATACCTACATATATGCATGCACCTACCTACATCCATACATGCATACACACTTATATACACACATATATCTATATATGTGTGTATATACACGTACATACATACATATGTCAATTATCTACACACCCAACTTGCTATTTCTGCGTTTCTTGTGTCTTGTGTGTTTTAAGGTAAAATGGAATCAGGAAAAGAGAATCCCTACGCCTGTGTAGTTGTTGCGGGGATGCGATCCAATCAAGAACGCCAAGCCAATCTCGAGGTGCCTGCTTGCTTGCTTCTCTGCTGCTTCTGTGTGCCTTCGTTATGCCGCCTTTCTCTTTATGTATGCCGCAGCCGCATGCACAAGTGCAGGCACGTTCAACATTGGGGCTTCTGCGCCCTGAAACAGCATGCAGGGTGCAAGCCAAAAAGTGTGGAGTGTGTCTCTCTAGCGGGCTTTGTGTGTATACGCAGCACTTCAAGGCGGGAGATGCGCGATTCCTCATCTGCACAGACGTTGCCGCCAGGGGTATCGACATCAAAGTATGTAGCGCAGTACACTAAGGAAGACCTACGTTCGGGCCGGCATGCTTTTTCGCCTTGTCATGCGTAATTTTGCTGCCTCCCATGCCTCCTCCCTCTTCTTACCCGCATACTCATGTGTCTCACCACAACCGGGAGAATCTTGACCGTAAACTCTAAATACATATAGATACATAATCTTTACGCACGCGTGTGTGTGTATGCATACATATATATATGCATATATATATATGTATATGCCCATCTATGCACATGTGAATCTAGATGCACGTGCAAGTATAGGCTGTACAAATATATGGATTTACGTGTGTACTTCTGTGCCTATGTATATGCATACATCACATACATATATATACATATATATACACATACACTCATGCATGCATACATGTATATACACATATATATATATATATATACGTATGATATGAAATGATGGTGCATGTGTATGAATACATACATATCTATATATACATGTATGCTCATAAGGATATTCATGAATAAAACTCTGAAAATGCTCTGAGGCGGCTGCAGAATCTGCCTTTCCTGATAATGCTGACGCTTCCGGACTCTCCAGAGCAATTCTTTCATCGCGTAGGCCGCGTAGGACGTGCCGAATGTATGGGGCTTGCTATTTGCATTGTCTCAACAGAACGAGAACGGGTTTGGTAAGTTACTAGTAGAAGCACACGCCCCTCCCTATACTTATCTGCATGCGCACTGGACGCCTACTCTGTTGTTCGTACCGCACAGGGAGGCGAGGCAAGCGCTGCCACCACAGCACCTGCAGTGTATGTGTGGATTAGCACCTCTCCAAGAGCGCACACTAAGGAATGCAAAAGGCTTCCACACGGCATGAATTAATCGTTGCTCACTGACTCGGCCTTTCGCTGGATGCGCGATTTTAGACGCGGCCTTTTCAGGTGGTGGCATGGGTATCATCATGGGTCGTATCGGTGTGCATGTGTTGTATGTAGGTGTGTGTATGTGTTGTATCCGTATGCATGTGTTGTATCGGTATGCATGTGTTGTATGTATGTGTGTGTATGTGTTGCATCGATATGCATGTGTTGTATCGATATGCATATGTTGTATCGGTATGAATGTGTTGTATGTATGTGTGTGTATGTGTTGTATGTATGTGTGTGTATGTGTTGCATCGGTATGCATGTGTTGTATTGATATGCATGTGTTGTATGTATGTGTGTGTATGTATGTGTATGTATGTGTTTTGGAATTTCCTCTAGGTATCATTCATGCCCGGACAGAGGGCGCGGCTGTTCAGACCGAAGGCTTGCGCAAGAGGTCCAGCACAGCAGACGCTGACGCTTAGCGAGAGCCTTCAGTCTAGTGTATATACATATATACATAAATATATAGTTTACCTCGGGCTAGGAAGAAAGAATTGGTGTCATGCAAGCTGAGATCGGCGACATCGCCCTCCTGCATGCGTGCGATCTAGGGGCCTTCCTGACTAAAGAACAACTTTCTGCGGCTTTAGTGTGTGGTGCTGTATGTGTAGGGGGGATGCACACTTTGGTACGATGAGCCTCAAATCCTCTCAGGTAAGCCGTTTGAAATTTTGAGAAGGGGCTCTTCGGCTCGCCACTCAAATCAGTGCGCGGCAAGCTCCTTCCACTTGCCTGCCTCACATTCTAAAGTGTTGCGATTGTGCTTATATCTGCAGAGATTCAGCAGAAAGTTGGCCGTGATTTACCCACTCTACACCCAAAGTTCTTCCATTCTCCTGGTTTGTCTTTTTGATCCTTTAGCGCGTAAAATTAAAAACACGGTGTCTCAGCTCTCCGTAGGTGCAAGTCTGTTGCTCTCTGTCCTTGTGTGAGAACTCTCTCTCTCTCTCTCTCTCTCTCTCTCTCTCTCTCTCTCTCTCTCTACCGACTCGACTTCTCTGCTCCTCCACAACGCATCTGTCTTTATTTCACAGCCTTATAGACGCCATACCTATGTACACAATCGTACACTCGTACATAGTC